GCAGGGGCTGGGGCAGCCTCCCTGCGGGACCCCCAACCCCAACCTGGAGGGGAGGGGAGCTGCCATCCACAGCCAGCGTTCCCGCCCTGCACCCCACAGCACCCCCTGCTGGCAGAGACTGGGAGCTCTGCCGCAGAGCCAGCGTTCCCGCCCCGCTCCCCACAGCGCCCCCTGCTGGGACAGGCTAGGGCTGGAGTAGCCGGGGTTGTTTCCAAGGAAACAGCCTCCTTCTGCCCATGGTGAAGCCTACACCGCTCTGGCCGAGCCCAGGGGACACGCCATGCCTGGGGGATGGGGAAGGGAGAGTGCACACGCATGTAGGTCACTGCCCCCTTGTGGTGGGGAAGGGAGGGGCAGCCAGCGTGGGTGTGGGCCCAAAATGTTTCATGGTCTGTTCAGCTGTGGGCTGTGCATGGGAGAGACCCACCAGCTGAGACGTGCACACACGCACACCTCCCCCACACGCATATACATGTTCAATCTCACACATGTCATTTTGCTGGCACACCCAGTGTCACACACACACATATCGCCTCACAAACACCCATCCACCCATTGTCACATAGATACAGATGCCCACCCCTTGTCACACACACCCATTGTCACACCCACAGCCATTGCCACACACACCCATTGTCACACACACCTGTTGTCATACCCACACACACACATTGTCACACACAGACATTGTCACACACACACACACATTGTCACACACATTCCACACACAGAGACTCACATCCATGTCACACACAGCCATTGTCACACAAACACATTGTCACACACAGACTCACACCCATTGTCACACACACATCCATTGTCACACACACACATTTCACACACAGAGACTCACACACAGCTATTGTCACCCCCCCACACACACATTGTCACTCACACATCCATTGTCACACACACACACATTGTCACACACAGACTCACTCCCATTGTCATACACCCACCCATTGTCACACACACACATTATCACACACACAGAGATTCACACCTATTGTCACACACAGAGCCATTGTCACACACACACACTCACACCCATTGTCACACACAGTCTCACACCCACATAGCGGGGTGGGGATGGGGATGGGTTGATACACAGATGGCAGATGAAGAAACTCTCCTGTACCTAGCCACTTTTCCGGACCGCCTTTGACACCAGGGTCTCGGGGGGGCGCCCGGTACAGCCAGGCAAATACTGGCACCGTGCTAAGCTCCAGATCTCCCGCCTCCCCCAGAGGGGTCTGGTGAGCAGTTCCCGCGATCCACAGGCTGCAGCCAGGCCCTCCAGGGCGCAGGCACCTTTTCTGGGCCTCCCACCCACCACCATTGCTGGTGCCACTCGGAGCCACCGCTGAAATCTCGGAGCTTGCAAACCCCTCTTGCTGCAGGGCGCGGGGCCCAGAGCTGCCATCCACGGGCACATGGCCTCCTGCCTCCCCACCCCAGCCAGGCTGGGGCCCTCGGAGCGAAAGCCTCCATTCGAACACGCCCCGAATCCTGGATCCCAGCTTTGCAGGGGAGCTGGGGGGGTGGGGACATGCAACACCTGCTCCATAAGGAACCCCCCTGCCTCCAATGCGCCCCCCCCCACCTCCCTTCCTGACCCTCTCGCCGTGAAGCAATGCTCGGCCTGACCATTCTGCCGCGGTCTCTGCCCTGCCAGCACTGGGCGGCCTGACTCTCGGCTTTCCTCGTTGCAAGCTGGGCTGGCGCTGACCTTGTGACAGGATGCTCGGAGCGCAGTTCTTCCGGTCGGGGACACTTTGACAGCACTGATCTGCTGGGGGAAGAGGGGGAAGTGTGGGGGTGGGGGAGGGGAGGGGAGGGCAGGTATGGTCATGTGTGGAAAGAGGAAGGGGTTTGCCTTCTAGGGGCCAAAGGGGGAAGGGAACGGTGGTGGGGGTGTGGACTGGGAAGTAAAAGGGCAGAAGTGGCCGGGCACAGCCCCAGGGCGCTCATAGATCACCCCGTGTGCTACCACATCCTGTTTTGGATGAGCTGAACCAACGGCCACCTGCCTCCCGCCACCACCACTCCCCGCCAGCTTCACACCACATGCACACAGGTCACACGGCTTCCACCGCCCCCTGCGCCTTGCACGCACCTTTACATCAGGGCGACGTGGTCAATCAACCACCGACAGACTGCGACCAGGGCCCCGTTGTGCCACGCACTGCACAGACCTCCACCGAGATCAGGGCCGCGTCGTGCCGGGCGCTGCCCAGACCCCGACCGAGATCAGGGCCCCGTCGCGCCGGG